TACAAGGGCGATCGTATAAAGGAAGATTTCATCAAGTACATCGACCGTGCACTTCTCCCGTACGCTGTGGAATGCGCTGATGCCGATGAGCTCGCCAAGTTCGTTGCGGACAACAAGGGCAAGGCTCTTTTCATTGCCGCTAAGCTTGATAAGCTCAAGTCCGTCTTCAGGAAGACCAGCATGTCTCTCCGTGACGTGAGCCCCGACTCTGTTGCCTTCGCCTCCGTGGAAGACACCGCTTTTCTTAAAGAGCTTGCTGGAAAGGACCTTGAAGCCGACTCTGTCCTTCTTGTTCGTGATGATGAATCAACTGATGTCTTCTCCGATGATGCTGACGCCTTTGAACAATGGGCATCTGTGGGGTCTCTTCCTCTGTACGCTGAGTTCAGCCGTGACAATGCTGGCTTGTACACAAAGCTCGACAAGCCTGTTTTCATCCTGTTCCAAGATCCGGAGAAGAAGTACAAGGACGTGAACGACGATATTACCGAAATCGCCAAGCCTTACCGTTCCAGCGGTGCACTGGTCTTTACTTGGACCAACAGAGTCGATCTAAAGAGCTTTGCGGAACACGTTGGTGTTGCCGACAAAGACCCAGCTATTGTCATCTACGAATTCAAGTCCGATCAGAAATACGTGTTCTCCGGGGATTACTCCAAGGAGGCACTGAAGGCATGGATTGACAAGTTCGTGACCGGAGACGTGTCCGCTGCCATCAAGTCTGCTCCCATCCCAGAGACCAATGATGAACCTGTGAAGATCATCGTCGGCGACACGTGGACCGAGATCGTGGAAGACGAGAGTAAGGATGTGCTCATTGAGCAATACGCTCCGTGGTGCGGACACTGCAAGAAACTTGCACCTATTCTTGATGAACTCGCATCAGACCTCAAGGGCGTTGAGACTTTGGTCATTGCCAAGATGGACGCTACCGCAAACGACGCTCCTAAGGAATATAAGACTAGGGGTTATCCCACTCTTCACTTCTTTGCCGCGGGATCTAAGACAGGCGTTCCATATGAGGGCGGCCGATCAAAGGAGGACTTCGTCAAGTTCTTGAAGGAGAACGCTACCCACAAGGGAGGTTTTTGAAACGAAGGAAACCTCAGAAGAAGACCAGGAGACTGTAGATGAAGAGAAGCAAGAGTTGTAAATATTTGTTTAGGTGAAGTAAATCGCCGCAGGCACACCAACAAGAATGACCTGTGAACAAGAGTGCACGTTTGCACTGCAAACTTTGCAGTACGCGGGTAGGACTGGGACGTCCTATGGTCGAAAGCTCCCCAGACGTGTAGCTTTCGACAAATAGAAGCACAAAGAGTGTCGTTGCTACTCTCCATGAAGGGGAAGCCATGTCACTCATACCTCCGCTGTACGCAGCAGGAACAGAATTGCGTCTGCCCCCTACTTATCACCATATCTTTCCATGTCTACTGATGACTTCCGCCTTGAGTACAATGTAAACTGAACTGAAACTTTGTGCTCAGACGCATCTCGTCCACATCTCCCTAAAATATGAGCGTTTCCCACTTGCTGAACACCTGCGCACGACTTGGTAAACCCGCGCACGTTCGAAATGGGATTCCACATTACCATCCCGTCGTAACCTGTATGGGACGTAATAGAGAGCTATTTGTCAGTTGAGATGCAGGCAGGGGTGGAAACAATCCGATGGAACAGGGATTGCTACATCAAGTAGCAATCCCATCACGCAATCCCATTGCGAATAGCAATTTCCATCGGATTGCAATCTCTTTACCTTACACGCAATCCCAAAACCCATCGCCCAACTCTAGAGCGGCACTCTAAACATAGTGTTTGCTTACTTAGCAAGGTTTAACGCTTCCTTCACCAGGTCCGAACCCAACATAATCTTCTAATAACACTTCTTTCTCACCCTGAGCAGTACGTCCAGGACAAGGGACTAGTGTCTATCTGACCAGCGACCTCATAAGAGGTCAATTTTAATTACTCTAGAACTTTATCAAAACCTTAAACTCTTGGTTGGAAGGGAGGCGAATGGAATTTGCGAGATTCGAGATTCCATGTTTCAGAGCCATGCCATCTCAAATTAAACCATTTCCCAAATTAAGCCGGTGTGACCGCTAACCTATAGCAGTCCGCTAACGCTTATCCCTGTTTCATGCGAACGCTGCTAAAGTTTTACTAATTCGCAACGGTTTCTATACCCTGCAAATCACGCAGTAAACGGACGTCTCTGTCTCTCTCAGGTCATGCGTGATCCGTAAACAGGTATCTACTCTATCTGGTGCAGTATCTATCGATTCGGACGGCAGGTAATGTACCCTTGGTAAGACAGCTGTGATCAGCTGCTGGGCTCCCTTCAGTTCATCACTGCTATCAGTGGGTGGTAGGAATCATGCCACAAAATAAGCATGACACAGGCGATCTCCTGCTCGGCTTCCTCGGGGGTGGGATGATGGCAGAAGCAATCATTCGCGGAATTCTTGGCAAGAAAGTTCTCAAGCCAGATTCGATCTATGTCTGTGAGTTGCTTGAGCACAGAAGAGAGGCCCTTTCGACGTTCGGAGTAAAGACCACCGATACAGCAAGCTCTATGCTTGAAAGATGCAACGTTGTCATTCTTGCGGTTAAACCTGATGTCGTGCCACTTGTTCTCGGCCAGATATCCAGTATCAAGCCCAAATCGCAAGATCACACATTGTATGTATCAATATGTGCGGGAGTGACTCTCGAAGCTCTTTGCCCGCCACTTGAAGAGAAGAAGATGTGGGTGCGAGTTATGCCGAACCAACCTTGCGTTGTCGGAGAAGCGGCATCTGCCTTTGCTATGAATGAAAGATGCTCAGCAAAGCACCGACAAATAGTAAATCAACTCTTAGGAGCCTGTGGGGCAGTTGTGGAAGTACCAGAAAAGAATCTTGATGCAGTGACCGGTCTGAGCGGTAGCGGGCCAGCATTTGTATTCATGATGATCGAAGCTATGACGGATGCCGGGGTCCGGAAGGGTCTTTTACGAACTGTTGCGTCCAAGCTTGCCGCACAGACTGTTCTCGGAGCAGCAAAGATGGCTCTTGAATTCCCTGAGAGGCATCCCGCGGAGCTTCGTAATCGCGTTGAATCACCAGGTGGTACTACCATCGCCGGAACCGTTGCGTTAGAAAGTGGTGGATTTAGAGCAGCAGTGATCAACGCCGTTTCACAAGCAACAGATCGCTCCGAAGAACTGGGCAAACACAAGTGAACTTGGACATTTGACTTATACCAGACCCTGACCGCCTTCTTGTCGACTTGTTTCATGTCCGTTAACGTAAGCATTATGATACCAAACGCTTCAAGTGAGACATCCACTTTACGTTGATCGCTTGCCGGCTAGACCCAAATAGGAGACCACGCATAAAGTTGTTAGCGGAATAGCAGTGTTCCGAGCTTCAAAAATGATGAGCTTGTCTTACCTTCCTCTGCTTCTTCAGAACCTGATACAGAGGAGAGGTAGTCATGTACACCATTCCGTTCTCTCTTCTTAGCTGCGCGAAGCTAATCTGGTAGAGTTGGCATTCCGTCCCGAGATAAACTGCAAGAACAACTAGGGACTGTTGCAGAGCTAGGATGTGACTATTGTACAGATTATGAGCTTCCATCAATTCAAGACTCTTCATCAGGGCTCCGTGAAACCTTCACGTGCCTCAGGTTCTTCCGAGCTTCTTCCGAACCTTTATGTAGAGTAGCCGGCCACTCATCTTCTATGGCGTGGTCCTCGACTGCAATGACTCGCAAGACTTAACTGATGTGGGTTCGGGTTGGGCATGAACTCCCCGTCAACAAAAGTGTACGGTATGAGGTGTTTGTCGAGAAAAGTCTGTAACGCACGAGATGCTGCTTGACTGGCTTGTTCTGAAACTTCTTTCTGAAAACGGTCGTTGGATATAATGTCAATGTTCTTTTGTTTCGCGTATGCTAAGAGGAAATGATCATCATGGGAACCAGATGGCGTAAACGACACTAGATTTTGCGCTGCTAGATTCTTCAGCAGTTCTGGGTCATCGGCAACTCGATCGTTTTTAATACCGGGACGAGTGTCAACTTTATGAGCGGGCAACATGGCAACTGCTTTCATGCCCTTCCCGGAGTAATAGTCGAGAACTACTTGAACACCCTTAGCACGGAAGAGATTCTTCCCGCCGCCATATGAACATCCCACGTTTTGCCCGTCAATCACTACCACCGGCATTGATGTGTTGCCGTTGTGCCGCGGGTGTACATTCGAGGTAGTTGAATCGAGTGTGGGCGATGGTTGCAAATGCTTGTTTTGAGTGCTTTGTGCATTTGACAGCGGCGAAGTGCGACGCGACGAAGACCGGCGTTTAGAATGTCTTTTGCGGTGCCATTCCTGATGCGGTTCTTCATTGCGCCTCTTTGATTCCTGAGAGGATGGACCTGCTTCGTTCAAAAGCACCTCCGAAGCCGAAGCTGATGGCTGACCGCCTTGTGGTGTCGTAGGTGTATTAGAGGCACAAGATTCCGAGCAGAGATTTTCTTCAAACAGGCGAAGTTGCTCCTGTTGCAAGGAACGGGCTAGTTCTTCGTCTCGAGTCGCTATGCTAGCAGCAAGTGCTTGCGCAAGCATGGACTCCTCGAGAGTAGTTTCTTCACGACTGCGGCGCAGGGCTTCTTGCAGTTCGCAGTCATCATGATCACTTGCGGCCATCATCGCCCAAGGGGATGTACCTTCGTACTTGAAAATGGAAAGTGTGAAACCGGGAAGCTGATGAGGTAGGCAACAGACTGAAGCGTAGGTACGAGACCCATACCCAAGCATAGCAAGCGAGAAGATAACACACGGCCTAATGAGTCGCCACAATGATGCAAACCAAAACGAACAGATGGGGCAGAATGCAATCTTTCATTCATGACCTGAACTATCGAAATAAATTATTTTAAATTCTCATTTCCAGACTAGACTTGAAACGTTAATATAAATTGAAAAATTAGGTATGTCCTACTTAATCCAGCCTACGTTCCCGTTGGTCTAGTGGTTAGGATGTCCCGCTTTCACCGGGAAGATCGCGGGTTCAAACCCCGCACGGGAAGCTCCACTTTGTTACTTTTAGGTTGCAGTTCAGTTGTTCAGCTGTAAAACTTACACGACAACTGCATAATAGATTATTCATTAACCCTTTACCTTTATTTTGGATCGAGGATAGCCGGTATCCTTGGAACAGTTGAGCGATATCCTTACTGACCCTTTATCCACTTCTTCCAACGGTTTGTAAAGACTAAATCTTTCTTGGGAACACCGAGGTAGCAGGCCCTTGCGATAAGGTAAAGGTTACGCGTGCATGTAAGGGTGAGAGTTTTTGGATCCGCGGAAGTCGTAGCTGCTCTTCCCCTTCTTCTTCTTCTCATTCCGAAAGCTAACGTGGTGGGACGCCTCGCAGTTGGACATCGGTATGAAGTGTTAGCCTTAATTTCTTTGTCACAGCGTTTGTTGGGCTCTAGTCGTGATAGAAGACCACGTATAGCAACCAGAAGCTGCCATATTCGAAATCTCAAGATGTGCTCTGCGATGTGTTAAGGTATTGCTTCCGCAATGCCTATATCGTTTTAAGCATCTCAAGCTTCCGCGTTTCGACGAGAATGGGATCGTGCTCCTACGCCATATGTAGTATAGACAGCTGTTCTTGAAGCTCGTTGGTTCAGAGTGGACATATTCCTGTCGAATTGGGCATCCATTACCAGATAAGGTTCTTCTTTGTCTTTTGCCCTGTGGTGTACATTCATACAGCCATACTGTGAAGAAAGGTGCCAGCGATTTGCATCATGTCGCGTAAAAAAGAAGGAAGGAAGAAGGAATGCAGGCGATAGCGTTTGTTACTGTTGAATGCCTTGATGCTGTTTCCTTCGTTTTGCTTTAGTGTAGTTGCTTACATAGATATTCAAGGAATTCTTCTAGGTCTACTTCTCTAGAAAGCGAAAACGTCGCAGGAATTGTAATGTGAGCGAGTTCAGCGTATCGCTCTCGACGGTCTCTCAAGAGAATCGGGTAACATCTTCTGATTGCATCCATTGGTGTCTCATGCTCTTCGCGATGGAAGGTATCCCCCCAGACGACAGGTTTTGGTGTCTCAAAGAAGTTCTGCGTTAGGCCCTCTAGCATGTCATCAGTAGCCTTGAGATGTATCACGAGATAATCATTTTTCAACCTCTCCAAGGTGCTATCATTCAGATATATAACGCTGCCTGTCGTATCTAGCACTGTGTTTGCATTCGCCTTCGGTATTGCACTGGATGTGATACGTCCCTCATGCATCAAGTACCTATTTTGTCTAGCGTTGAACTGCTCATCACTTGGGAATCCCATCCACTTTGCCATGCCGTCAATGCCTGAGTAACTTAGCTTGGAAAGCTCGGGTTTGATTGCTTGTTCAATTAGATCATCAACACAAATTCGGTGAAAGTTTCTATGTAACATCAGCTGAGTTGACCAGTGTGACTTTCCGCAATTCGACATTCCAACTAGACACAACGGAAGACAGTTTGATTGAATCTTATCGTTAAAGGCATCAACCGTTAGAGATTCCCATTCGGATGCACTGCAGTATATCACCTGATTGCGAATGAGATAGTTGACCTGGACATGATAGGAATTTCTCGCTCGTCGGCCGAGAATGAAGCATGAACGGCTGATCGAGGGGCGTTTCAGGCACTGAGGGCTTTTCTTCGATACAGCGACATGATGTATAGGCAATGGCACCCCCAAAAATGCTGTGTCATGCGAAGCCATCTGCAGAATCGATATCGTCAAAACAGAGAGTACCTTTGTGCGACTACTTCTCTTGAGACATGCGCTGATCTCGATTGGTGTTGTTTAACAGATTGCCTGGGCAGAACGATTACTGGATGAGTTATGTCTGCACAGCAGCTGCTGCGTTCTTATGACCAGCACGTTGCTCTTAAGGGCAGTCCCCACTGGATTGACGGCAATAGCCTACGAGGCTAGAATAGAGTACTTTTTCGAATAGCTTTCGTTCATTTTGTAAAACTGAACAATGCAAGATTTATTAGATCTGTTCCACTGCTATCAGTCTCTATGATCCGAAAAGCAAAACCATCACGCAGTCACGGTACTCCCACCAAATGGGACGATGACGCACGTAGATCGGCTCTAGCCCTGAACAGCTCTCACGCCCGATTTCCGATATCGGCAGACTAAACAATGCTTGTCATCCGAAAACAGGCTCGAGCAGCTAAGAACCGTCTGTTAACTATAGCAGGAACGTTCCTAGCAATCTATCATACTCTTGCTGTATCGCCGAGAACAAAAAAGGTTCAACGAAACCGAAGAAGTTTTCATGAAGTCATTATGGGACTCAGCGATGCGCAATTTTGATTTTGCTATCGTTTGTCACGTTCTCCGTTTTCTCGTTTATTGAATGCCATTTGTCCATTTATATCACAATATAACGATGAAAAGTATGAGTTATAACTGTCTGGGCGCCATCACGAGACGGTGACGCAGGGGGCCAAAATAAATGACAAATTAGCCTAAAAAGGGTATTCCTCGTAGCTCGAAGCCCCAAAAAGATGAAACGACACGAATAAAAGATCAAACGAACAACCAATGCAGGGACCAAAAGGACTCAACCTGCAGCGATAACAACAAATACAAAAGGAGAGCACAAGGCTCAATCCAAATAAAAACTTCTTGATACTTCTTGAAACGGCGCACAACCCAAGAACTATTTCAAGGGTCACTAGGAGTCAGACTCCTGGCTTCCGGTAAGACAATCCGGATATGAAGTGATTTCTGCAGCCTACCCGCTTCTGCACAAACCAGAAGCAGGTGCGTACAATCCCTACAGGGCTTCCAAAGGAGAGCTACTAACAGCGGAATATGCTTTCACTCTATACCCAATCTGTCCCTTTCCAGGAGAGGCTGCACGGCACGTCGCCTGCGGACAGCTTCCCTTCAAGCAACTCCGTCCGGAAACCACCAGGTCTTTCGACCGTCACCGTTATCCGAGCAAAGCTCCGGTCGGGGCTCACAGACGACAGAAGCGCCTTGGCTACACACTACCCGTCTCCCGTCTACGCCAAGGGCGCTTCAACCGGTCTCAGCGACGGTAATGTCCCACCCCAAGTATGCACAAAGCGGCAAACGCCTCACTAAGTGTGGTTGAGAGTTGATCGTTGATAGTAATAGTTGAGATAGTTGCGGGGGTGAGGACTTCTAGATGTGGTTCTCCTTCAGATGAGTCCAGACCGAAGTTTGGGACTCAACTCGACCTTTTATAGAGTCAAAAAGCATGCAAAACAACACAGAAACGCATTACTACTTTCTACTTACTCATGTGTGCTTCTAGGTTACTCCATTGGCTTCCAGAAGCCTCTGGAGCTGCAAACTAACCAATAGTAATTTAGCAACTGGCGACTGCATCACCAAAATAAAGTGGCAATGCTGGGCCAGCGAAGCTTACAATGCTCCAGACACTGCTGGAGCACTCTATACGTGTGTTCCAGCAGTGCTCGAATATTCTACCAATTTCGCGACCGACAAACTGCAAGAACATCTTGATGGGAAGGCTGTACAAGCAGCCACCAAACTCGGTGTCTTTTTACATTACATGGCTCCGGCCAGCTATTGGGATCTCATGTTCTCCTATGGTATTGGCATAACTACTTGCTACAGCATCTTTAATGAAGTATTGAGCGCTTGTGACACTGAATTTGAGGGACTACCGAAGAATTCAGATATTCTTGCGTACAAACGGCACGCCGTAGAGTTTTCTCTGTCAAGAAAACAATTTAATATCTTGCCCGAGTGTGTAGGAGCACTTGACAGTACTCTTATTTTACTACAGACACCGCCACGGAAACTCAATAAGCAGCAGTTCTACACTCGTAAGGGCGATTTTGGAGTGCCTGTGCAGGCAATTGTTGACGTTAAATACCGATTCGTGGCGTCATCAGCAGTTTGTATGGGATCTACTGTAGATAGTGTTGCAATTTTGCTTTCGAACATTGGCAGGTTTCTACAAGAAGAAAGACTACCCAAGGGGTTTTGGATCGCTGCTGATGAAGCATATCGCTGCATCGACTTTTTGGTAACTCCAATTCCACGTTCAATGGCCAACAGGTATCAGGACGGTTTTAATTGTTGCTTTTCATCTCATCGAGTTCATGTTGAGCAAGCGTTTAGACGGGTGAAGGGAAGATCGGGAGTTCTTTGGAGGCCTTTACAGTTTAACCTACAGACTTCTTTAATTATCATCAACACTGCTATGAGATTGGAAAACCTCTGCATCAATTGTGGAGATGCAAAGGAGTTGAATGTGGTCTTTGGATCTGTTTTTAAAGCAGAAGCACAGGAGTGGTTGGAACGATGGCTGGCGTGGTGCGAAAGTGGCTTTGACTACTTTCTGGATCTGCAGGGTGATGATGTGCGGTCTGAAGTGAGCGAATTATCTATTTGTTCTTGGGGTTTTGTTGACGAGTGTTCTCTTACTCGCGTTCGACTCTGCATGATTACTGAAGCGTATCATTTTGTTCGTCCTGCGTAGAGGTTTACGATCTCAGATATTCAGGAGAAAGAACGGGAAGGACGCTTAAGAACTTTGGCAACAGCGTCAGGTTGATCGTAAAAGCGGTTCGATACCACCTCCCCGGTAGCAAATTCAGCGCATGTCGACGAAAAAGCCCCATGCGATGCTGCACCGTACATACGCCACACGCGCTGCCACCGGAACTCAGAACGCACAAAAAACCCCTAAAAACCCCAACGCAATCTTGCCACGATCCATAGCCCCATCCTCCGCTTCCTCAGCATTCCCCAACGCTCTTAAACGCATCTGCTGTCGCCCTGCGCCCGTCGCCCTCGAGCTCAGATGAGACGTGCCACCTACGTCTCGCAGCCGAGTCTCCCCAATCTCACGCGCGCCTCGCGTGCTTCCGTTCCACCTGCCTTGGCCTCACTGGCATCCTTCAGCACGCTTTCGATAAGTGCTTCACGTCTATATCCCGCCCGTACTTCTTCCGCCACTCCCGATGCGTTGCCGGTATCGTCACAGTCGCTTCTTAGCGCCCGACGGAGG